AAAAACACAACGCTTCAGACCCGGCAAGAAAACAACGCAATGTATTTCCATCGTGCGTCGAATGATTGACGCGGTTTACGCCTCTGCCTCATCTGGTTTCTTGGCAATTCTTCTCGATTGGGCAAAAGGTTTAAAACAACTCAAACACGATGAATTGATTACCGCATTATGCCGATTTTGAGTTTTTTTTTCTTTTTTTGGGGGGGGGGAGCGTTTCTTCATCCTCAAAGACGAATCAGGCGATTCAGTAACAAGAAGACAAAAAGCTGGGATCGGTCAAGGTTGCCTGTTGTCCCCATATTCGTTTTATCATTGTTCTATCGGTCATGTTCTTCGACGTCGACAAACACATGGAAAAATTGAGCGAACATACCCAGGAAAAGAAAACTCGAATTATATAGTGCGATTGTTTTGGCAAAACTTCTGTATAGCCTCGAATCAATATGGTTAATGCAAGCCGACAAACGTCGTTTGGACGGTTTCCACGCGCGCTGCCCGAGGAAAATCATGTCCATCCCATCTTCATTCATCTCGAGAGTTTCCAACGCGGAAGTCTCGGGAAAAACATCTTTTCCCGTTCTGAACGCAATTTGTTTGAGCGGCAAATCAACCTGTACAATAACGTATGCACTTTGCCCTCTGACAACTTGCATAAGATGCTAACGTGCATGCCAGACTCGCGTGAACCCAGGGACTGGGAACTCAACAACAATGCGCTCATTGCGTGCGCGATTGCATGGAAGATATGTGGCTCTGATTTCGCCTCCCCTCCTGCCTTCCTCCCTTCCTCGGCCACGGCTCCTCCCTCCCTTCTTCCTTCACCCTGTGCCGGCACGCATTTGGCGTGTGTTGCCCCCGCGCCCCAATGCAAAACTCAAAGCAGCTTTTCCGTGCCGATGCGCCGTGTAGGCGCCTGGCTTCTGTCTGTCTCCCACACCGCCATTTTCTCATGGACTGCTGCTTTGTATTTGATGGCGTCGGTATTTGGCCTCCAATACGGCGCTTTCTCGTTACTGTGGCACGGGCGGCCCCCGTCCAAAGCGCCTGGAATGGAAGAGAACGAATCTGCTCACCTAGGGCGGACCAAGAGGCGACCCAGACGCAGCACAACTATTCCAATCAGGGGAACACTTCCTGAGCAGCGTTATTTCGAACTGCTTGGCGTTGCATTGCATTGATTTGCATTGATTGGCCTTGCCTTGCCTTGCTTCGTGTTTCTTGGCATGGCGGGGGTACGCGGGGTATGCAGGAATGGGCTGGGGACGCATGCGGACACTGCCGCTGGGGCCTTCGGCGGAGCTCCCTACGGAAAGTGTGAGGGAGTGTACCAAAATAAGCACAGGAAAACACACAAACCTTGCCACTGGGACCTTCGGTAAAACTCTATATGGGGTCGCAAGGCGTGTGAGGGGTGCCCAAATCGAAGCGCCGCCGCCATGCGAATCCTGCCGCTGAGGTCTGCAATGGAACTCCTTATGGGTCCACGAAACGTGCGGTCGGTGTGTGTGTGTGTGTGCTGCAATACGGAGAGACCGTCATGCAAACCCACTGGGCCCTGCGGTGAACCCCCCTAAAAGGCCACGAAACGTGTGAGAAGTTTGCCGCAATGGAGGCGGGGCCGCCATGCGAACCCTGCCTCTAGGGCCTTTGGTGGAGCTCCCTATGGAGCCACGAAACGTGCGGTGTGAATGTGTGTGTGTGTGTGTGTGGAAATTGGGCGGGGCCGCCATGCGAATCCCATTGGGGCCTTCGGTGGAGCTCCCATATGGGGTTGCCGAAATGGAGGCGACGCCGCCAAGCGAACCATCTGGTGCCTTCGGTGGAGCTCCGTATGGGGCCACGAAACGTGTGAAGGGTGTGCCGAAATGGAACAGGACCGCCATGCGAACCCTGTCACTGGTGCCTTTGGTGCCTAAGGGGCCACGAGACGTGACTGGTGTGCCCAAATGGGCGGGACCGCCATGCGAACCCTGCGACTGGGGCCTTCGCTGGAGCTCTCCCAAGGGGCCACGAAACGTGTGAATCGTGTGCCTAAATTGGGCGGGGCCGCCATGCAAACCCGGCCACGGGCCTTCGGAAGAGCTCCCTATGGCGCCACGAAGCGTGCGGTGTGTGTGTGTGTGTGCCGAAATTGGGCGGGGCCGCCATGCGAACCCTACCACTGGGGCCTTCGGCTGAATGATTTTCGGGCCACGAAGGTGTAACGAGTGTGCCGAAATGGCGAGGGGCCGCCATGGGAACCCTGCCGCTGGGACCTTCGGAAGAGCTACCTGTGGGGCCACGAACTGTGTGAAGGGTGTGCTGAAATGGTGAGGGGCCACTATACGACCCCTGCCACTGGGGCATTCGGTGGAGCGCCCTAAGGGGCCACGAAACAAGTGAGGGGTATGCCGAAATTGGGCGGGGCCGCCACGCGTACCCTGCCACTGGGGCCTTCGGTGGAGCTCCTTATGGGGCTGCCGAAATGGAGGCGACGCCGCCACGCGAACCCTGCCACTGGTGCCTTCGGTGGATCTCTTTATGGGGTCACGAAACGTGTGAAGAACGTGCCGAAATAAGACGGGGCCGCCATGCGAAGCCTGCCACTGGTGCCTTCGGTGTAGCGCCCTAAGGGGCCACGAGACGTGTGATTGGTGTGCCGAAATGGGCGGGGCCGCCATGCGAACCCTGCGGCTCCATGCGAACGCGCCTGATGATTCTGAATCCGTTTCTGTGCGTGCCAGCTCTGTATCTGTCCTACAGCTCGAGTTAAGTACACTAAAGCCCTAAACCCTAAATCCTAACCCCCTAAAGCTCTAAACCTCTAAAAGCCTAATTCTAAAACCCTAAAACCCCTAAGCCCTAAAGCCCCCAAACCCTGGAACTCTAAAACCCTTGCCCCTAATTTCTAAAATCCGGCCCTACATCCTAAAACGCCAAACTCAAACCCTGGTGACTTTTGCTCGGTTGAAAATTTTGTTCTCGAAATTCAACCATTCGTTAGAGCGGCCACTGGGGCGTTCGGAGAAGAACTCCTTATGGCGCCACGAAGCGTGCGGTAGGTGTGTGTGTGTGTGCCGAAATTGGGCGGGGCCGCCATGCAAACCCTACCACCGGGGCCTTCGGCTGAATGATTTTTGGGCCACGAAGGTGTAACGGGTGTGCCGAAATGGCGAGGGGCCGCCATGGGAACCCTGCCACTGGGGCCTTCGGAAAAGCTATCTGTGGGGCCACGAACTGTGTGAAGGGTGTGCTGAAATGGTGAGGGGCCACCATGCGACCCTGCCACTGGGGCATTCGGTGGAACGCCCTAAGGGGCCACGAAACAAGTGAGGGATGTGCCGAAATTGGGCGGGTCCGCCATGCGAACCCTGCAACTGGGGCCTTCGGAAAAACTCCTTATGGCGCCACGAACCGTGTGAGGGATATGCCGAAATGGGGTGGGGCCTCCATGCGAACTCCATGCGAACCCTGCCACTGAGGCCTGGAGCTCTCGATGAGGGCACGAAGCGCGTGAGGGGTGCGCCGAAACAGAGACATATGGAGGGGGCAGAGGCACAGTGGAGGAGGGAGGTGGGAGGAGGAAGGAGGAGTTAGGAGGGAACGCGGAGCGCCGTTCAAAATGATACCCCAACGCCGCAGAATGGTTGGGACAAACAAGCACCAGACCGAGCATAGAAAGCAAGAAAGGGAGGCGTCTTGGAATGAGTCGGACGGTCAGGTGATTGAACTTGAAACCAAGACACATTGGCGTATCGTGCTAAATTGGGAGGAACGGTCGCGATCACGTGAATGGTCACAACTTCGGCTATACGTTTATGGAAACCCGTGACCGCCAAACAAAACAAATCAACACTAAGACCGACGACTATCTCAGCTTCTGCAAGCAAACTTCGGCCTCTCCCCTACGCGCAATACCGACGTACGAAGAGCAATCCGTGCTATACCAATTGTATCATCAAAGGCAATACAATGGAATAGCGTTCTGACATAGGTTACAAAACAAACAACATGTATGGACATCATATTCGCGAGATAACCTCAACGTAATTACTCACCTATTGACCGCCAACCGTTTTCCGGTAGTATTTCGAACAGAGAAGCCCGCATGTGCTCTGGAAGCGGCTACTCTCAGAAGTAATCAAAACCACGGCCGTTGTGCTAAACCACTGGGTCATTAAGAACGTGCGTCGCTTGGGCGCTTGGCGTTCTTCGCCGATCGACTGGCTACTCTGGTGCGGATCCTATGGAGACATCGGCTAGCGCAAAAATACATAACGGCCATGACCAGGAGACAACCCAAACTTTTCACTGCGCAAGCCAGATTAGAGAAACGGACGGGGTTTGGTAACACGTGCCGCGTTTTGGTAACAGAACGCAGATCCTGGTATCAAGTCAACACAAGATTGTCAGTGCAACTCGCAGGATTAAGCCACATGCCGCGCAATTTTTTGGGAATGCAAACATCGGCTCCAGAAGATCGCCGACCCATTGGGGGTCCTCGGCGTATGAGATAAAAACGGCTGTTACGTAACAATTGAACAACGGATCGCAAAACGAACCGACAACGGCGAGACGGCAATCCCAAAACGGACAAACAACTGCCCCCTCAAACAAAACAAAACGTACATCTTGAAAACGGAACAAAACGTCACAATCGTGTTAAGAACATCTAAGCCCGATGCAGCTCCAAAAGCCCCGAACCTGCGCAAGAGCGCACCGAAATGGCCCAAGACGTCCGCAAGACGGCCCAACAAGCGCCCATGACGACCCACGAGAACTCCATGGTGATTCCCATGCACACACACATATATATATATATATATATACATATACAGATTTGTATGCACATCTATATCTAGATATACACACACTCATACCTAAATCTGCCAAGGCCGGAAAAGGCGAAAAACCTCTCGACCCGCTTCCATCAGGGCCCGCCTGCTTCATGGCGAACTTTTCCGCGTCGCCGAGACGGGCGGCACGTGGCCAGCCTGGAGGGCTTCGCCGCCTCGCAGCCGTCACTCCTCCCGGTCGTCCTCGCGGTCCTGCAGAAGGCGGGCGCGGCCGCACGCCCCCCTCGCCGCGACCCCCGCCGGGCCCCCGCCGCCCCTGCTCGCTTCGTTTCTCCCTTCCCCTCTCCCTCCCCCTCATTTCTCTCTCAACTTGCTCCCCCCATCCTCCCCGTGCCCCTTCCGTTCCTCGCCCTCCCTCCTCCCTCATTCTCCTTTGCCCCGTCCACGCCCGACTCCCTCTCTTCCCTCCTCACTTCACACCATCCCTCCTCCTCCTCCTCCTCCTCGCCTGCGCCGACCGGTCCTGAATGGCGAAGCCGTCCTCCATTTTCATCTGCACCAGCCTGCGGGGGCCCCTGGAAGCCATGGGGTGGGCCGGACGGCAGAGGAGGCGCGGATCAGATCGACTCGGCAGGGGGAAGCGCCAAGCGCCGCAGCGCCGTCTGCCCCCCCCCGTTGGGGGGTGCCGTAAGTGTGGAGCTTAAAGCTCAAAGACAGCTCGACCTGCCCGGCGGACAATCGTCAGCCAAGCCTCAACCTTTCTCCCTGGCTAGGGGCTCAAGATTTGAGCCCTCCTGAAGATAGAAAAACCATTATGTACTATGAGATGGGTAGTTTGCTCATAGCACTCGTGGCGTGTGGCGGGTGCCGAGGGGGAGCCCAGCAGCCAATCGGGTACCCTCGATCAGAGACCTGTCAGACCACAAAGACAAAGAGAGATACCGCGGTGCAATTGCTTCCATCCTCACCCTAACCTCCAACCTCCATCCCATCTTTCCATAGCTGGCGCATCCTGGGCTGCGCTTGTCGCTTAGCTCCCGAGGCTGTCGGAGGGGAGCTCCCTTTAAGGCCCTCGATCAGAGACCTCCTGCTCCAGAGGCTAAGCAGGCGGGGGCCGAAGACCGCATCTGGCGAACCCAATGCGGGTTCCGCTCGGGGAGGGGCACGGCAGACGCAGTGTTCCTCGCCCGCCGGATGTTGGACGACACATGGTCAACGCGAGATTCAAGTCGCTTGTTCCTGGCACTTGACTGGGCCAAATCGTTCGATTCGGTCTCGCCGGACGCGCTCGCCAGATCGTTGTGGAGATTTGACCGCCCAGAGAGTTTCGTGGACGTCGTCATCTCGATTTACAGCGAGCGCAAGTTCGTTGTGAGGGATTTCGGGGCTACGTCCAGCGTGCATCAGCAGAGGTACAGCATATGCCAAGGCTTTCCACTTTCCCCTACGCACGCGCACGCGCTGCTTCAGAGTCGCGCCGGACCGATGCCTGAAAGTCGGTTTGCGAGGTAACTGGTGTACGCAGACGACACATTACTCATAGACTCTGACCCAGACATCGTTCAAGAGCTGATGCGCTGGATTTGGGAGTGCGGGGGCCATTACGGGTTGCAATTCAGTTGGGGCAAATTGGATTTGATGATAGTGAGGACTGAAGCAAATACTTTGGGAGGCAACGAGGTCCCCATCCCAGCGAAGCAGTCACCAATTTATCTCGGGACGTCTCTTGCTGCGGACGGGCGCATCAGCACAGAACCGAGTCGGAGAGTAATTAGGGCGGCCAGAAGTGATTTCAAGGTGTTTGCAAGGATCTGGTCGCATTCGACTTTGAATAGGAGACAGAAGGTGCGTATATTTAACGCTTGCGTGGTTTCCAAACTCACGTATGTATAATTCACTGCGTGTCTTAGCCAGGCCGAGCAAAGACGGCTCGACAGGTTACAGAGCGCTTGTCTCAGACGAATTTGCAGAATCTCCCCGTCATACATCAGTCGTGTGTCGAATCATACATATAGTTTTGCAGATTTGCCTACAGATGCCTCTGAGCGATAGTCTCGCGCGTAGACGGATGTTGTACATGGGCCATTTAGCCAGAAGGCAAGACGAAGATCCAGTCAGAAGCTCGGTGTTTGAGCCAGGCGGTTTGGTTCTCAAGAGCCTCCTTGGGAAAAGGAAAAGAGGCCGCCCGAGACAATCTTGGGGGCCCATGGTGCTAAAGAATTGCTTGAATGCCGCCGGCTCCCATGAGCGACTTGCTGACTACTTCCGCCGAGAGGGCGGTGCAGCTCGCAGGTGGGAGCAAACGGTCAGGGCATGTGAGGCGTGCTGAGGCATCCGCTTCCGTGCACATTTTCACTCATTGCTCACGTGCTGTGGCTGGCGCAAGGCTTCTGGACTGGACTGGGACAGAGACCCTCTATGCCCACTGACTTGAGACGGAAAGTCCCATCCAGAAACAAGTGGGGGGAATGACGAGGAGGGAAGGTCATGCAAGGAGAAAGGGGGGGGGCTGAGCCCAGAGCCCCTTCAGCATTGTCACTTACGAAACTCTGCAAGGCTGTTAGTTACGCTGGCAGAGGGTGTCGAGGGGGTTCTCCCACGGAGGCCTTCGATCAGAGACCCGGACTCACTTCGCAAAAGACAAAATACGCTGCGCCTGAGGTCCGCCGAGGATGCCATCGTCCCAGAGTTGCACTCATGCCACCGTTATGGGAACACTGGTGTCGGGGGGGAGCTCCACAGGAGGGCCCCCGAACAGAGACCCATACATGTAATTCAACTGCTGACGAGACAAGGTGCATGCTAGCGCGCCATCTTGAATCCACTGGCGCTTCCTACGTAAACCTCGAGGGTGTCGAGGGAGAGCTTCGTAAGAGGGCCCTAGCACTGAGACTCTCAAACGGTGCATGTGCACTGCAGCCTCGCATGTGTCGCACCCTGAGTCACTACTAAATCCACTGCTTTGATCGTGCAACACTAGCTGCGATGCTGGGCGTAATTGCAAAAATGTATTGACCCCAAGAGAAGGAAGCCTTAAACCACTTGACGGGGGTCAGGCAGCACCCACAGCCCCCCGCCGGTGGACGCATCGAATTCCCCCCGCACCCTCACACGACAAAGTCCTGAGCGGCAGAGAGGCGTTGGCGGATATGCACGAACAAACAACTTGCTCCCAAGACCAAGGAGTCTTGCTCGAACACTCCTGCGTGTGCCACTTTTCTCCAGCGCATGTTTGGCGAAGCATGTGGAGGAAGGCCTCTCTGCGCGCTTGCGGAACCAACCGCGCCATTGGACCATGTCCTCCAATGTGGAACACTCTTCGAGCCAGCATTTCATCCACACAGAGAAAACCCCCACCCTTGTCGCGCAATGTGTGGCCTCTCCAAACGCCCTTGGAAGCGATTGCGCTGCGCGCGGCGAAAGTTGTCTGAACCGGTCCTCGGCACTGGAGGCATGTCGCACACATGGTCGCTGCAACTGATGGGACATTGAGATGGGACATTGATCTCCCAATCCTTGGGGCCGCGAAGAAGACTTGGACTTGAAACTAGATTTGCGGCGATGGCCTGCGCTTCTGCTGATGCCTGACGCTTGGCTGACTTGCGTCTTGGGGGGCGAGACCTGCGAGGGCGCCTGATGGGCGTCCGCTGCGCTCTTACATCGCGCGGCGGACTAGCGGCAGGCTCCTGATTGACTGGATTTGGCTTGAGCTTGAGCTGTTTTATATATTATTGTCTGGGGGGGCCTCAGCTTGAGCTTGAACAGATGCTGAGTCTCTGGCTGCTCTGTGCTGGTGGAGTCGCGCGCCTCCAGAATGGGCTGCTGACTAAAACTCCTGGAGGCTTCTGTAGCTCGCTTGTCCAGCCGCGATTGAGAAATCAGAGAGGTCTTACTGCGTCGGCCCGCCTGTCCTCTACTTGCGCCTGAGAACTTCCCTTTGCCGCTGCCTTGGGCACTGGGGTGGCAGCAGGCGCGGGGGGACGCGACGAGAGGCCGAGGTAATGTGGGGGCAGCGGGGATGAAAGGGAACGAGCTGCAAATTGCGCGCGCAGTCGGGTCAACGGGCGCAACCTATGATGCCCGCTACTCGCGGGCGACCACGGGTGTTGCACGGGCACATTCGCGCCCAACTTGTGGAGGCATCTCTAGTGTGAAATTCCCGCCTGCGGCTCTGGACACGTCTCTCTTGATAGCCCCATTGTCTCCCGCGATGTAGCAGACATTGTACTTGGACGGCCCAAGGGAGACCCAACCCAGGGTGTTGCACGGGTTTGTTCGCGCCCGGATTGTGGAGATGCCTTGAGCGAAACGCCAGTTTGAGGCTCTGTGCGCATCACTTTTCATGGCACCATGATCATCACGATATGGCAAGCATGGCACTTGGGCCTCCCAAGCGGTGGCCGCGGTAGAGTTTTGCCACTGGCCCGTTCGCGTCCAGATTGCGGCGACCTCCCAGGCCCCGAAATTACAGGACCCTGTCAAGAACGTCCAGACTTGCTTAGAACTCCTCCGAACCAGTCACGTTCAAGCTCACCCAGTTCGGAGTCGATCAGATTCGGCCACACGCACTCAGACTCTCTCGCAGTCACACTCATTCACATCCCAACGGTCATACGCAGACCCGCTCATGTCGGGGGCGCGCAAACATGGATTAGCGATCCATGGATTTGGCGCGCGGTCGCAAATCCATGGATCGCGGGAGGTGCCCTCCCCAAAATGCGGCTGGCGCCGCCTCGCTCGGCGGCGGAAATCGCGATTTCCCATGGAGACGGGACGCCCCCTTGATCCATGTTTGCGATCGCCCGATCATGCGCGGCCTCCCGTACCCACACTCGCTCACACTCCGACTCTTTTCTGCCGAGGCTCAGACTCTCGGAACAGAGTGCGTCAGACAATTGAGGCACACGCGGGGGCCTCCTCGCCGAGTCGCTCCTCGCATTGTCCAGCAGTCGGGAGGCTCATCTTGAGCCCGACCAGGGGGCTGGGGCCGCGGTGTCGTGAAGGCGTGGGGAACGAAAGGAACGACCAGCAGAAGCACAACCAACTGCGTAAAAACAACTTCTGGGGGTCCGCGAGGACTTCTTGGATCCGCGCTGGACGCCCCTCCCTGGCGCGCGGAGCGCGCTCGGGGCCCAACGCAGATCCAAGAAACCCGCGCGGGGCCTCGAACATTCCGTTCGTGCCGCTCGTTTTGTTTTTTGGGGAAAGGAGGGACTGGCTGGAGGGGAAGGTGCTGACATGGCCCGGGCGGCGCACGACCACGACACGTTGGCGACAGGGCCTCGACAGTGAGCCCGCACGCTCCCGGGCGGGCTGAAGGAACCCTATAGGCCCCTATCGTTCTGCAGCACGCTGCGAGCCGGATCGATCTGCGAGGGTCCCGGCGCTCGAGGCCGCGCGAGATCGCCCCGAGGTGGACAGAAATGCGGCGCCAGGATTTCAAGGCCTGACCGAAGGATTGCAAAAAAACCAAAGATTGCAAAAAAAACAAAAAACACAGGATTGCAAAAGAGACAATAATATATATATATATATATATATACATATATATAAACATATATATATACATATATATATATATATCTATACACATATATATATATATATATTAATTTATATATATAATATATAAAAAATAAAAAAAAACAAAAACAAAAAAAAAAAAAAAAAAAAAAAAAAAAACGCTGCCGGCGCCCCAAGGCCAGGGCACCCGCACAGCGCGGAGCCGGGGGGGAGGCACGGGGAGCGGGGGGCGCACGCGCACCACGGCCGACGCGCGAGCCGCAGCCGAGAAGCCGCCAGCGACTTCTGGACGGCACGGGCGGGCAGAGAGGCAGACGGCTCGCCGGGCGGGCTGCTGTCCAGCGAGCCACCACGCCGGAGGCCCGACGTTGCGGCAAAAGCTGCAGGGTCGCGAACAAGCACGGCCAGAGCCCCGGACCCCATCGTTCTGCGGCACGTTTTTGAGCCGGATCGAGGTCCTGGTGCCAGGGCCCCAGACCTGGCGAAAACGCCCAGGGCGAAAAACATGCAACACCCAGATCTCAACGTGGGTGCAGCGCGCGCCCTCGCGAGCGCGAGCTCGCGCGCGCGCGCGCAGGCGCGCTGGTGCGAGAGGGATGGGGGGACGGCCCAGCGCGGCCTGATCTGCAGGGCGAGCACCCCGCTGAAAACCAGCAGCTGGTAGCAGAAGCCTGGCCCACGGCGAGCGCCCGAGTGAGGAGGACGAGGAGAAAAATTGGGAACGAGAGGGAGGAGGAAAGCGGAGGAGGGAGTGGAAGCGACATCAAGCGTGGCCCTGGGAAGAGTGGTGCAGTGGTGATGTGGCCAGGAGGGTCTCACTAATGTGGGCAACCGCTCAAGCGGGGGGAGGTCTGCCACCAGAAGCGGATCGCGGGAACCGTGCCTGGGCTCCCTACGAAGGACGAGGGGAGGAGAAGAAACACCACTATAAACCCAAGATGCATCAACGATGTTGCAGGAAACACTCCCTCCACATTCCATCTTCTCAGGCCCAATGTGAGAATATATTTTCGTTCGGGACATGCCATGCCCAATTGGAAAGACAAACGTCTGAGAATTCCAGGTTGTGCCAAAACACCAATCCTTGGATTTCAAAGCAACGAATCAACGTGACCGTTGCGTCCCGACAACCCTCAGCCGTGCCAGAACACCATTCCTTGGACTTGAGCACCGCGAGTCAACGAGACTGTTGCGTCCTGACAAACCAAACGCCTGCCGAAACACCATTCCTGGAACTTCATCCCTACGGTTCCTTGAAAACATTACAGACATTAAGACGAATGAGTGCGGCACTACGGCTAGATCCACATTTTGAAACAGAAGTCACCATCCATCTTTGAACCTGTTTGCAAACTTGCAAGGCGAACTCGCGCAGCGTAAATGCGAGAGCCACATTTTGATTACGGCCCGCCCTCAATCCTTGAAGCTGTTGCAAGCTGTTGAGACGAATGTGTATGCGGCGCCAAGGCGAGACCACTAGTTAGAAAACAATCCGCCCTCCTTCTTTCAAAGGCTGTTGCACATTTCGATACATGATCATAAATGGTGAAGAAGTCTGAAGCAAAAAACGCCCCGCCCGCCCTACGGACACGTCTGGGGGTGCGACATGGAAGAGAGATCGATCAGAAATCAGACTGAGGATGAGGATGGGGATGGGAACGAGGAGGAAGAGGAGGAGAAGAGGGAGAACGAGGAGGAGGAGGAGAAGGAGGAGGAGGAGAAAGAGGAGGAGGAGGAGGAGAACAAGATGGAGGGGAGCGATAGGGATGCGGACGAGGAGGAGGAAGAGGAGGAAGAGGAGGAGGAAAAGGAGGATGCGGAAAAAACAGGATGACTGGGACAAGGAGGAGGGAGAGGAGGAGGACGAGGAGTAAGAAGGGGACGAGGAGGAGGAGGGGGAGGAGGGGGGCGGAGGAGGAGGAGGTGAGAGAGGAGGAGGAGGAGGAAACAATGAAAAGTAGGGACCGGCGGAGGATTAGGAGGAAGAGGAGGATGATGAGGAGGAGGAGGATAAGGAGGCGGATGAGGAGGAAAAGGAGGAGGAGGAGGAAACGGAGGAGGAGGAGGAGGAGAAGGAAGAAGAGGGGCAGGATGAGGAAGTAACGCGGAGGAGGAGGACGAGGAGGAGGAGGAGGAGGAAGATGACACCCCATGGCTTGACAAAGCAGGCAAAAAAGGGAGGAGGATTGTTTGCAACATCGGCGCAGAGGATGACTGCACGAACGACTGTGCATGCTCGGGCAGGTTGCAGTGAGGTCGGGCAACGCTCGAGACTCACATCCCCAGGGTGTAACCGAGTTGCGAAGCCTACGTGCCCACCGCAGGCAAACAGCCTGGGGCGAAACGGACGGCGCAAGAGAAGACAGCCACGCTGCGCGGGAGGCCTTTGCAAATCTTCCAGGACATCGTCGACGAACTGCACAGCTGCCTTGCAGGATGTAAATCCAATTGTACCGGCGTCCTCGCATCCTGTGATCGGACAGCGACAGGTTCAGACGCGGGCAGTGTTTGCCCAACTCCGTCACCCTGCCTCCAGTGCTATAGAACTTGCACCGCGTGCAAACCGCTATAAACGGGCCGCCCGAGCAGTCGAAAGCAACAATCTTGTGCCCCAGCTCCTGAAGAGTCTGGGACTTAGACCGCGCAGGCCGTCGGGGCGAGCACGTGGCCCAGCGGGGGGTCGCTCAACGCTCGAGCCCCTTAGACAGAGACTGCATTGCCAAGATCTCCCAAACGCGTGCTTGTCCGCAGCCAGGCGGCTGGCACCGCCAGCAAGACTTCACGCAGAGCGCGCCTTGGAGGTTTGATCTGGACCACCGCGGGAGCACGTGCGCAGCCATCTTCGCGACTTGCCGCGCAATGATAATCTTCCTCGCCAAAGCGAGCACTTCCTCCGTCGACGGTCTGGGATGCTGTTCGCGGCCTAAGTTGGCCAGGCAATCAGCGTGATAGTTGCCTAGGCGCAATCGGTATTCTGCCTCGGGCAAGCTGTCGTCAAGCGTTTGGTGCGCACGCGCCTTACATGGATGGCTGACAAACTGCTGTCAGCCTGAGAGAGCTTGCAACGTGAACCCTGCATGCGCGCTTGCGAGACAGCGCGAGAGGTCTGGCCATCTGCCAATGGTTGACGACCGATTGGCAATCTGAGAAAATCGTGGTGGGGCCCGCCAGCATATACACCACGGCAGCGACAATCCCGCACTCGGGCCACTGGGGCGTCTGGGACCAGAGGGCCCACAGAGGAGCAAACAACTCAGCCCCAATGGGGCCATCGGGTTTCAAAACCACACCTCCACAGCCAACCCTGGACAGTTAGTTCACGGACCGGGTGTGAGTGGCTGGGCCCGTCGATGAACAGGTCCCCGGAAAGCTCTAACCCTCCTGCTCCTGCGCTGTTTGTCCCCCTGCGGCATAACATTCAGAAATGACGCCGCCATCGGTCAGAGGTCTAGGCCAGTGGCCCCCTGGGTGCCGGAACAAGCTACGGGAGAAGAGCATGACATCCTCGGTTGAGGTCGCCTCCGCGGCCTCGGCGCAATATTTCCTGCGCTTCTCCCCTAAAATATCGCCCCTCTCCTCCTGGCATCTCGTGCATGGCCGCGGGCAGTGCAGGAGAGAATCCTCGGCCGCCCCGCGCCGCTCGCACAAAACGCTGTCGACCTGGTAGCCGAGGGCCTGCGCGCGCACCGGCGCCCAGACGGAGATGGCGGCGGCGCCCCTGATGCAGCCCCTCTGCAGAGGCGTGCACTTGGACGACGACGCCGCCGTCTTCATGGTATCAAGATATGCCCTGCCATCGATCCCCCAGTTATCAGCCACGTTCCTCTCCGACGCCCGAATGACGGCCTGCTTCAGCGGTGCCCCTGCCAGCTGTGGCGCAGCGAGGGTGAGTGAGGTCGGGTTGCCGAAATCGTCGACGACATCTGCGAACGGCTCCATCGTCCAACCCTTCTGGCTAAAGGAAGGCGCAGCGCTGCCATGGGACCTGCTACTTTCCGCCAAGTGACCGAACGAGATTGTCTGCAGGCCGCCCCCCATCCAGTCCAGAGCCCATGCTATGAGAGAGCCCCTTCGGACAACCGAGCATGTCTATACCAAATCTCCTGGCCGTCGCGAACAGCGACGCCCGCCGATCCAAACCGAGCAAAATCGCCCTCTAAAACCATCATCCCAGGCAACGAGATCAGCCCAGCCGGTGGTTTAATCGTCGAAGCGGCCCCCCTACGAACCTGCGGCAATTCGTGATCCGACATCCCGAAGACAACGCAACAGCGAAAACTCATGGCATACAACAAACCCGCACGGATGTGCATACGCTTGCCGGTAAACATCTGCTGGCGCTGGAGCCGCCTGACCTTCCTCTTGAGAAAGGCCATGCGGGCGCCGAACTTGTTGGACCGACCTGCTTGTCGCCTGGCCAGCCCAGCAGTGGCATCAACGCTTAGGATCGCCGTGGCCACGAGGCGAGGCCCCGCAAGGGCCCCAAGATGATCCTGGATGGCCTTAGCTACCGCCGCGCTGGATGAGATCATGGCAATCTTACCTGCGGGGATCCTCGCCTCCATGTCAATCGCGATGACATGGTGTTCAAAATCAGCAGCAGCACAAATGTCCCGCGCAACTCGGATCTTGCGGGCCAACAGACGTGAACACGCTGTCATCAATAAAGGTATATCGAGCCGTACTGTGTCGTATCGTAGCCATAACCTTGTCATAGGCCTCCAAAGCGGATGCGCGTACATGCGCGGTAGCGAAAGAGCAGCAAACCACGACCCCTCTGGCCACAACCACGGACCGTCGTTCAAACCAGCAATTGAAGCATAGCGCGGAGCACGGTAAGCAACCAACGTAATATAACATACGGCAGGAAGAAGCCCTTGTCGAAGGGCGGGACAAACTAAACAGTTCATTGTATTCGTGCATGTCCCACAAAAGTCCTGCCGCCACCTCCCCGTCTGAAGCGCCCTGCTCCGCTCTGAGGGCTTGCCTCCGCGCGAGTTCCAGTGCTCCGCGGTGGTACCCAGCCGCGAAGTGGGACCTCTCATGATTTAGCCCCCACTGGAGTCCGCGCGGCCTGCGGGCCATGCCCCAAGGCCTGCGCAGACAACAGGAAACACCGATGGGGCGCCATTCTGCTTGCACGTCGGAGAGGAGGGCGATGAAGACGACGTGGGGCTGAGGCGAAAGGGGGCCCAGTAATTCCACGAGGTAGATGATGATAGAGACGACCCCCGGACTATCATCGCAGAGTAAGGCGTAGTGCTGCACGTGGAAGCCATCCACACCTACCGCAATGCACGCTTTGCGTTGCTTTGGAAGGATCCCGATGGCATCCGGGTCCAAGAGGAAGGGACACGCGCGTCCTACGCGGGCTTCTAGCTTGCGGCTCACTGGAAGCCTCCCAGTAGTAAGCCCCAGGCTTGTCACTCTCGCTACTCAACATCGCCAGCGGGTCCGAAGCCGCACAACCTCCCGCCGACAACGTGGCAGTCGGAGTCCAAGCCGCACGATCTCTGAGAACGCTGCGTGCTCGCTTCCCACCTTGGTCTAATGGTGGCCTCGAGAGCTTCGGAGGCGTCGTTGCCAAGGTCCTTAACGTCGTGAGCCAAGACGTCCGACAGAGGGACCGACTGGTCCCAATTGTACAGGAAACCTGTAAGCCGCCTAAAGA